ACCTCCCCCCCCCCCCATCAGTTAGATATGGGATGGCTAAGCTGGGGACAGGCAGCCTTGCCTTTGACTAAATGTCCATCACCACCTCCACTGGGGGACTGAGAGCCCCGGGGACTTCCTGCCCTGTAAAGGAGCAGCACAGGATGGACTGCACCCCCCAACCTAGGTCAGAAGTGGGGGAGTCTGCTTCAGAGGTCCATGGGGCTGTAAGGGGGCAGCCCCCCCCCCCCTGCATAGTCTGGCACCTGGCCTGTTGGAGGAGGCAGGGGTTCGCCGTGCAGGGTTGTTTGGGGGGGCTAGGAAGGTAAAACCAGTTCACTGGTTAAAGCTAAGTTTTAACCGACTAAGCAGGATCCCACTCCTGCCCCAGTGCTTGGGGGGATGGGAGGGGCAGCTGACTTTTGCTCCCGGCCCCAAGGTCGGGGGTGGAGGGGGAGCTGGCAGCGGCAGCTGTGGGGCTGGAGCAGCCCTCTGGCTGCAGGCGTCCGTCGTACTGGTGAACCTGGCTAGCTGTTCACATCCCTCTCCAGTCCCTGCCAGGGGCTCCTTGCAGGAGGAATAACAGGGCATCCCACGGCGGTTTTTTGCCCCCTTTCTCACGCTCCCGAGGCTGGCTGTATGTTGGCTGTGCACCCCCCGTAGCTGCTTGCTCCTGCTCGGCTCCGTGCGCCCGTGCCTGCGTCGGGCTCTGGCTGTCTCGTCTCCGTGCTTGTGTTGCTGTGACCTCAGGGCAGACGGGAGGGGGAGTCCTGCTTGCCCTGCTGCTGCCTCTCAGAGCAGGGGGGCCCGGTTCGTCTTTACTGCTTCCTCCGTCTGTGCCAGGCCTGGGGGCAATATGGCAGCCCTAGACTGAGGGGCAGGGCCATTGTGTTGAGCTGCTCCCAAACTCCTTCCTCCCCACAGTGGACAGGAAGTGCTGTGTCCTGGGGGGCCATCCCCAGGTCCCAGCTCATCCTGGCCGCTTTGCCCCACGGGACCCAGCCACAGCCCCCCTGCCTTGAGGGAGCCGCATCCCACCCAGCATGAAACCTGTTCCTGATGCCCCATGTTTGGGGGGCTGGGGATCTGTATTGGGATGAGTAGACCTTTCTCAGTGGGGTGCTGGGGGTCACTAGGTAGTTAGAGCCCTGGCCTCTGAGGGGTGGGCTGGCAGAGCAGAGCCTGTAGTGCCCCTGGCTGTGCTGTGGGGTGGGCCCCCCATCCTCCAGCTGTTCACCCCCTCCCCTGTCTCTGCTGTGGGCAGATCCGCTACCGGAAGGACAAGGTGCTGTCCAAACAGACGCCCTGCTTCCCATCTGTCATGGGCATGAAGGACCTGGCCAACGGGGGCGCCATCGCTGCCACCATCCACTATTACTGCCCCGATGTGGTGCGCCTGGAGGGTGAGTGCAAATGTGGCGCTGCACTACAGGGGGGCTTCCAGGCGCTGGCGGGGTGGGAGCCGGGGGTTAGGGACCGGGGTGCCGGGTGGCGGGGTGGGAGCCAGGGATTGCGGGCGCCGGCGGGGTGGGAGCAGGGGGTTAGGG